GGGGGCTCCCAGCCATGCTGGGCGGGCTGAGTTGGTGGGGGGCACAGGGACTAGTTCTGGACACAGTTGTGTTCTTCGTCACCAGCGATGATTCGATGATAGAGCTCCCCAGGGTGCTGAGGCTCGTCTCTGCCACCTGTCTCTCAAGTTGGACCCATCTCTTCCCCTCCTTGTCCTTCCCAGCTCGGCTCCCGACCCCACAGCTCGGTGTGTTCCCACAGCAGCTGGGCTATGTTGCTGGAGAATCGATCACCCTGACGTGCTCAGCCGCGGGGGCGCCCAACGACTCCATGATCCGCTTCTACAAGGACGACCAGACACTGCTCCCCGAGGAACTCTGCCTCCGCCTGCACCAGGCCACCGCCTCCGTTCGGCTGTCGGCGCCGCCGCAAACCAGCACCTACACCTGTGGGTGCTGGAGAGTAGAGTCCGGGCGAGAGATCGAATCAGAGAGGAGCCGGCCCATCTCCATAGCAGTGATGGGTGAGCCCCTCTGTCTGCTGGGGTCTGCTCACCTGGGTGGGGTCTCTCCTCCAGCCGCAGAGGAAGGTACCTCTCAGACCCACACAGGGCCCCCCAGGGCAGTTTCTACCCCATCTGGGCAGCTTCACACCCTGGGGCTCTGTTGCCCCCTGCCCCAGTGCCAGCATCTGCACCCCCAGGGTCTCTGTGGTCATGGGCATGGAAGCAGGAGCTGCCACACTGAGGTGCTGGGCTTGAAACCCCACAGGGCTCAGACTTCCTCCTAACTCCAGGATCTGGTCTGTCACATGGCCCTTGGGGGCAGGGTGTTGCTCACACTGGGACAGGGATCCCTCACTCCCAGACTCAAACCGGGGACCTCTACACTTCGGGAGGGAAGAATCCCAGCAGCCAGCCGGGGGGGGGGGGGGGAGATAGAGCAGGGGACAGCTGTGAGTAAGTTGAATTCTGGGCACCAGCTCCTCTTTTCCCCCCTGCCCTATGCCTGCTGACCCCTCCCCTTTGCTGCTCCCCACAGATCCCCTTCCCCCGCCAGTGCTGAGCGTGGATCCCCCGTCTGGAGCGGTGAGCGAAGGGCTCCCCCTGCTCCTCACCTGCATGGCCCCAGGGAACACCGGCGAGAGGAGGTTTCCTTCCTACAAGGGTGGCTCTGTGACCGTCTCCGTGACCCGCGTCCTCAGGGCTGGTCCCAGCAACGTGGTTGAATTCACCTGCGGGAACAAGGAGAATGTGAGCGGGAGGTGGAGCCCGTCCTGCACACGCCAGGCTGTGAACATCACTGTGGATGTGGCTGTGTCAGGTGAGGCAGCCCTTGGCTCCTTATTTCTCCCCAGAGTGAACCAAAGCCACTTCTAACCTCCCACCCTCCACTTACCGGGCTGTCTGGGCAGAGACATGAGGCTGGAGCAGCCCTCAGGTGCTAGAGGAGAAGCTGACCGGGGAGGGACAGACACATGGATGGGAAGGGTCAGGATCAGTGCCCACCAGTCAGACAGGGAAGGACTGGGAGTGGGTTTCACGTCTCAGTGCCTGAGATCGTGGGGAGTTTGTCACGAGGGCTGGGGACTCACACACCACGTGTCTCACCATTTGCTGCTGGTTCCACGCATGGGTCTCCTCTCTCTGCAGCTCGCCGCTTCCCCTCGGTCCGGGACCTGGCCGTAGGCGGCTCCTTCTTCCTCATCAACGGCCTCATTTTACTCCTCTCCCGCTGCTGGTTTAGCACCAGGTAAAGAGCTTGTTCTGCCAAGGGGCCCTTCCTTATGTGCTTCGTATTCCCATCGAACTGCAGTCGTGGCCCATGAATTTCAGCCTGGCAGGGGAAATCCCATAATAGCATCTGAGACACCACCACGGTTCTGCAAGCACTTGAGGTACCAAGAGAGCTCTGGTATCCTACCAAATGCAGCTGCCTCTGGGGTGGGCATGACCCTTGGACACAACCGCACCAGGGGGACTGGACAAGTTGTCACATTATTGAATTTTGAAGATCATGCTGCACCTGGAGTGGAGGGGTGCCCCAAAAGGGGGCCATGGGAGGTGTCAAATGCAACCTTATGCTCTACTGATTTAGTATATGCTATTCATGTCCTTGTATGATATCTGTACGTGGAGTTATAAATACGTACTTTGTGTTGATGCTGGAAAATTGTCTGAGACAGAGCAATGAGCAAAGAATGTTCAGCCGGTCGCTATGCTAATTAGCAAGGAGACAATGAATCTCTAGGTACTGATAGCTGCAAACCAGCCAGGGCTTAATGGCTAACAGCATGTGAAATGGAGATAGGTCGGAGCTTGTGACCTGTTCAGGCCAGGAGGATTCCAGGAGAGTTATATAAGTGCCATATGTTCTCTGTGCTGATACTGGCCTGGACGTCCTGTTGTAAAGAACAATTATTTAGTTTGACTGTGCTAATTAGCGAGGATCCAGGGACGATGGCTCCCAAGGTGCCCAGTACACACCCGAGGATTGCGTCTGGAAATCTGGATACCTGCAAACCAGCCAGGGCATAATGGCTGCCAATATGTGAAACAGAGATAGGTCACTCGACTGTGTGACTTGCTCTGGCCAGGAGAGAGAGATAAGGCCACGAAGTGGACTCCATCTTGTCTTGAGTTCAGCTCCTGATCCCAGATGCAGCCCTGCAGGAAACAAGGAGCCGGGAAGAACTGTGGACCCATCCTGACATAGGATGTTCACCAAAGACTTTTAAGCCAGCAGTTTGTAACATCTCTGCTGAGAGCCTGTATCAAGAACTGGATGATTCGATGCATGTAACGTGTCCTCCTTAACAACCTGACTCTCGGGAAGGACTGGGAGTGGGTTTCACGTCTCAGTGCCTGAGATCGTGGGGAGTTTGTCACGAGGGCTGGGGACTCACACACCACGTGTCTCACCATTTGCTGCTGGTTCCACGCATGGGTCTCCTCTCTCTGCAGCTCGCCGCTTCCCCTCGGTCCGGGACCTGGCCGTAGGCGGCTCCTTCTTCCTCATCAACGGCCTCATTTTACTCCTCTCCCGCTGCTGGTTTAGCACCAGGTAAAGAGCTTGTTCTGCCAAGGGGCCCTTCCTTCCGTGCTTCATATTCCCATCGAACTGCAATCATGGCCCATGAATTTCAGCCTGGCAGGGGAAATCCCATAATAGCATCTGAGACACCACCACGGTTCTGCAAGCACTTGAGGTACCAAGAGAGCTCTGGTATCCTACCAAATGCAGCTGCCTCTGGGGTGGGCATGACCCTTGGACACAACCGCACCAGGGGGACTGGACAAGTTGTCACATTATTGAATTTTGAAGATCATGCTGCACCTGGAGTGGAGGGGTGCCCCAAAAGGGGGCCATGGGAGGTGTCAAATGCAACCTTATGCTCTACTGATTTAGTATATGCTATTCATGTCCTTGTATGATATCTGTATGTGGAGTTATAAATACGTACTTTGTGTTGATGCTAGAAACGTGTCTGAGACAGAGCAATGAGCAAAGAATGTTCAGCCGGTCGCTATGCTAATTAGCAAGGAGACAATGAATCTCTAGGTACTGATAGCTGCAAACCAGCCAGGGCTTAATGGCTAACAGCATGTGAAATGGAGATAGGTCGGAGAGGACTGTGACTGATACCTGCAAACCAGCCAGGGCATAATAGCTAACAGCATGTGAAATGGAGATAGGTCGGAGCTTGTGACCTGTTCAGGCCAGGAGGATTCCAGGAGAGTTATATAAGTGCCATATGTTCTCTGTGCTGATACTGGCCTGGACGTCCTGTTGTAAAGAACAATTATTTATCTCTGTGCTGATACTGGCCTGCACGTCCTGTTGTAAAGAACAATTATTTAGTTTGACTGTGCTAATTAGCGAGGATCCAGGGACGATGGCTCCCAAGGTGCCCAGTACACACCCGAGGATTGCGTCTGGAAATCTGGATACCTGCAAACCAGCCAGGGCATAATGGCTGCCAATATGTGAAACAGAGATAGGTCACTCGACTGTGTGACTTGCTCTGGCCAGGAGAGAGAGATAAGGCCACGAAGTGGACTCCATCTTGTCTTGAGTTCAGCTCCTGATCCCAGATGCAGCCCTGCAGGAAACAAGGAGCCGGGAAGAACTGTGGACCCATCCTGACATAGGATGTTCACCAAAGACTTTTAAGCCAGCAGTTTGTAACATCTCTGCTGAGAGCCTGTATCAAGAACTGGATGATTCGATGCATGTAACGTGTCCTCCTTAACAACCTGACTCTCATGCTTTTCTCTCTTTTAGTAATAAACCTTTAGATTTTAGATTCTAAAGGATTGGCTCAGCGTGGTCTTGCGGGTAAGGTCTAGAGTGTAAATTGACTGGGAGCTGTGGCTGGTTTCTTGGGACCAGAAGAACCTGTTCGGGGTGGGTGAGCTTGGATTCTAAAACCCCTCACCTGTGTGCAGGTCTGGGGCTGACTGTGGCACAGGAAAAGCTGGGGTGTCAGAGGGATTCTGCTTGTGAGGCATCTTGCTGGCCAGATTGTCAGCCGGAGCGCTCGGTGCGACTGGTTTGTAGCCTGTTGGGGAGAGATCTCAAGTCTGGGGCTGTAATTAGCCCCAAGTTTGAGTAATTTGCCCTGAGCGTTTGCCCTCGGCAGAGCCTAGACCCGGCCCGGTCCATCACACAAGTGAGAACCCAGAGACCCGTGTTCCCACTCCACACACTCGGCTGCAGTGACGTGTCTGCAAACTACCTCGCGAGGTGCCAGGTGACTCTCCAAACACGCCGGTCAGTGACATGCCTGTGGGGCGGACATGACGGAGCCGCAGGGGAGGTAGAGCTGCCCTCTGCCAGTCTGTGCATGAAGGAAGGGGAACCAGGCACACCTCGAGCAGTTAGATGGGCAGTAAACAAACCCGTCCGGCCCGCCCTAGGCTGTCACACAGCTGTATCCCTCCAGAGCCTCCCCTCCAGCATCCAGAGGGAGACAGGAGAGCTTCTCCTCACAGCCCCCGTCTCAGAGAGGTTGTCTCCTTCTACTCACCGCCAGTCCTTCCCCAGCTGGTCTGTCTCTCCCACCAGGCTTGGCCTGGCCTCGAGCTCCTCCTGTCCCGTTAGTGCCAGAGCCAGTTGGGACGCTAGTGGATTGTGAGAGCAGACACGGGTCCCTGGTTCGAACCTCGCCGGGTGTTTGCCCCAAGTCTGGTGCAACGTGGCCGGGGGAGGTGTCTGTGCCAGTCTGTGGTTCCCTGACTCTGCTTGTGCCGCTCACACCCATGTGCCACCTGTGTCTGCGAAGCGAGGGGCCTCGACTCTGTGTCTCTCCTCAAAAAATGAGGTTTACAGAAAGATTCATTTTCGACAGAGCTGCGTCTATACTGCTGGGGGGTTTTTTTGAAAAAAAAACCTCAATCTTGAAAAAAAGCGGCAGCCATGTTTATGCTAATGAAGCACAGAATATTTAAATCCCGGCTTCATTAGCAATTTCGATGTACCTAATCTACATCTCCCTGTCACCGTCTTCGGGAAAGCTCCCAGAGCCGGAGCAGAAGAGTCGGTTATAGTTGCCCCTGGGTGTGTGGTGGATTCAGAGTCTTCACATGAACGAGCAAGATCCCAGCTGGGCCAATGGGCTGTAGCTCTACTGGAGTCAAAGGGGTAGACCCCAGGTGGGTCAATGGGCCGTAGCTCCATTGGGGTCAATGGGGCAGACCCCAGGTGGGTCAATGGGCCGTAGCTCCATTGGGGTCAATGGGGCAGACCCCAGGTGGGTCAATGGGCCGTAGCTCCATTGGGGTCAATGGGGCAGACCCCAGGTGGGTCAATGGGCCGTAGCTCCATTGGGGTCAATGGGGCAGACCCCAGGTGGGTCAATGGGCCGTAGCTCCATTGGGGTCAATGGGGCAGATCCC